GGGCCGGGATTGGTCTCCCCACGTCTCTCTCTCCGTTCTGCTGTGTGCCCCGAACCTTCTTTCTCTTCGCTTCTCTCTGAGCTCTCCCCCTGCGCCTCAGCCCGCCCGGGCCCCGCCGTGTTCTGCTTTTGCCGTTTTCCTCCCGCGTCCCCCAAGTCCCGTCCCGCTGTTTCTGGCCGCCTGTTTGGGTCGCGGGTAAAGCGTGAGGGGCCAGAGCCGCAGCTCTGTGAGGGTGCAGCTGCTTCACCTTTTGTTAAAACCCGTGTGATACGAGAGAGCCGAACTGGGCTGAGGGAGAGCTTTCTGGAAGTGGGTTTTGGTTGAGTTTCCTTTCATACACGTCCCTGGTCGCTCCGAAGGGTGTTTGCTGCAGCTGCTGTGCCCTAAGCAAGCCATTAATGGAGGCTGAGGAAATTGGTGTTGGCAGCTTTGTGTTTTGTTTCCATGGACTGCAGGGTGTGCTGTGAAGGGTGATGTGTTAGGCTGTGACTGTGTTTGAGAAGAATCGGTTGTTTAGAGTTGTTGATGGGGAGTGCTGGAGGTCAGGGTGAAGGTGTGCTCTGCCTGGTGTGCTGTGCCTGAGCCCCTGCACAGCTGTGGGACAGGGGCTCTGCACTGGGGTGATGCCCTTTAGCACTTCTGTAGAGCTCATGGAAAGCTCTCTCACTCTTCAGCATTTCAGTTTTGTTTTGGGTGTCAACAACATGCAGTGTTCTGCCAGCAGAAACATTGGAAAATATAATAAAGTGGTAAATGACTGGGTCTTGCATGCCCCTTAACGCTTCTGTAGAGCTCATGGAAAGCTCTGTCAATCTTCAGCATTTAAATTTTGTTTTGGTTGTCAACAGCATGCAGTATTCTGCCAGTAGAAATATTGGAAGGGATAATAAAGTGGTAAATGACTGGGTCCTGCTTTGCTGTGCTGTTGTAGGAGTTCAGGGAGAATCCAGGACTTTGCAGCCTTTGGGATACGATGATTGCTGGAGGTGTTCATGTCTTACTTGTGGGGAATTCTCCAGACTGTGTAGTTGTTTAAAGTGCAACCACATGAATATTGTTGTACTGCAGGAGAAGTAAACTTTTTCCTGCAGCAGTCAGTGAGGAGGCTTGTGCTGGTTATGTTATTGTTTTGAGGAATTTGTGCCAAACGGTTGAGCATTGAAGGATTTCTCCTGGGGTAATTCTTTACCCCTTAGTAGAAAACTTCCCAACTTGCCTCAAGCAAATGATCTCAGCAGCAAACATTGTGGCCTTTAGCCCCTGTTGGGGACTGCCTGGATCAGTTACTGAATCCTGTTGGGGTTTTTTCCTCTCAGAGTGGGGAATGGGTTTGGTTTGCAGGTGTTTTGTGCGAGTTGCAGCACACACTTGCTGTGAGAAGCAGCAGTGAGTTAATGCCCCTGCCCACCTGCTTTACAAACAGCTTCATTGTTAGAGCAGTTGAGCTTTATTGTCAGGGCAGTCTCTCCCTTCCTCCTTCATCCCCTGCTTTACAGCCTCTGTGTAAACACCAGCTCCAACGACTGAGTCCTTTCACAATGAAATCTCCTGTCTGCTGCTCTTGCCAGTGGCTCCTGCTTTGCTTGCAAGTGTGCATTGACACTGAGCCAAGCTAAAGGCCACAGTTCTGTGGGAGTGTTTGATATTAAATTTCCTCAAACAAGCTGTTATTCCTTAGTTCAGAATATCTTCCTTCTTGGATCTTTGTAATTACTGTGCCAACGTGAAGCTTTTTTGTTGTCAGAAAAGCCACAGTCTGAGCAGTTTCCAGTTCTAAGAATAACATTTTATCTTTATAAAAGTGTATTAAATAGGGTTTTTTTGCAGAGAAATTTTTGTAGAGGAATTATTTGCTTGAATTTTGCTGTTAGACTGACCTTGCCAGAGAAGCTCCTTAGCAGCAATTGTTATCAGCTTCATTAGTTTAATGAGATATGTAAAATAACCCAAAACACCTCTGCTAACAAAACCTACCTGCTACAAAAAAAAACCTACAAAAATTGGAAGTTACAGAAGACAAACAGAAACAATTTTCAGAAGATTCCAGAAGTAGCTGCAGTTGAAATGTTTCTCTTGACCAAAAGCAAAGCCTATGTCAGACATGGAATTATAAAGAAGATGCTGGTTTTCAATGGTTGCTTGTAGATACCTGTAGCTTTTTAATGTTGAGTGGTTTCAGATTTCATAGCTCAGGCTGAAAATACCTTTCACAATAATTCACTCAGTCTTACACAAATTATAAGCCTTCCTGTTAGTCTCACACAAATAAGATTCTTTCCAGGTAGGGGTCACCAGTCTCTAGTGGAATTTTCACTGCACTGACAGTGTGATCCCAATTAGGTTTTTAAAATGGTGGAGAATATTTTTCTGCACATTCTGAGCTACAGAATCGTGGATTCCACTTCCCTGTAACGTTATTCAGATATTGCAGCATCGCTTTTGATCCTGCAGGAGTGAAAGAACTGGGGAGGATTTTTATGGAAGCAAGCTTGAGAACTGTGGGTATTGGTTTGACTGTAAGCTGTTAGTGATGAGTCCCAGATCATCTATTTTCATTTTAAATGCATCCTATGTCAATTAAATTAATGTGTGTATTAACAACTTGGATGCTGAAGTATTCACTTGTATGGCTTCACACCTTTGTTGTAAACTTAAATATTTCTAAAGTGAGTAGTTGAGTGATTATAAATAAAAGCTGGGTTCTTTCAACCCCATTAGTGAGCCAATGTCTTTAGGGTGTCAATATGTGGAGCAATTGATACTCTTGGTGGCAACTGGTGACAGTGTGTGTGTGGGGGGGATCATGTAAAGCTGAAGGATTTGTGAACTAAATCTGTAAACTCTAAGCACTCAAAGCTGAGATAAAGCCAGGGAGGAAAGTGCTGTGTGTTGTATATTAATGATCTGCTGGTGGTGGGGAGCATGTCAGTAAATTACAGAGTAAATCACTTCAGCTGAGCTGAGGGGCTCTTGCAAGTGCTGTGGATTGAGCAGCTGCCTCTGGGCACATTTCAAGGTACAAAACCGTGTCCCCCTCAGAGTCACCCAAATTCTCCTCTGTCCATTTGGGGTTAAATACATCTGATGTGTCCTGTGAAGAGCCAGGCTGAATTTTCTGTCCTGGCTGGGAGGTTCATGGAGTGCAGTGTTAGAGGAACCAGGGGGGGCTCCTGTTTCCAGCACCTTCCATGCCCCAGAACCCACAGACAGCAGAGCTCCAAACTCTGTTAAACACAAAATCTGCTGCAAGCCCTGGGGCACTTAACTTTGCTTTCCTCTTCTGAGCATCAGGGGAACCATCTGGTTATTTGCCAGGTGAACTTGATTCTATTAGGGTGATCTAATTAGAGCTGGATTCCAGGTTAGCTGTGCAGGATGTGTCCTGCTGTTCCACTGAGGGATGTTTACCAGGCAGGAACGTTTTGTGCAGAGGCGTCAAAATCAATACCGGGGCAGAGAGAGAAAGAACTTCTTGTACTTGTACACTTCAGAGCTCAGGCTTCCAGGGCTGTCTCCAGAACAGTGTGCCTTTAGCAACTGACTTCTCTTTTTACACAATTCTGCAATCTGATTATCTTTTCCTAGAAGAAGCAGGAGGAAGAAACATATTTTAATTTTTTTTTTATTGCCGACTTGTCAAGTGTTTTAGATTCCATTTTAAAATTTTGATTGCGAATGTTTTAGATTCCATTTTAAATTTGCTTTTTGATTGCAAATGTTTTAGATTCCATTTTAAATTTCTGTTGCCTTGTTTCTGCTTTTCTTCCACTTAATGACCCAGCAGGCTTGAGGGACCAGCTGCAGACGTTGGATGTGACCTTTTGTCATCTGATGTGGCAGCTGTGTGTGACGTCAGCTGCTTTTCATCTGAGGTCCTTCGTGGCCTCCTTATGTAAAAAACAAAATTAAAGCTCACTGTACTTGAACCTTTATAAGATGAGCAAGGCACGAGAAGAGATCAATTGCTATGGTTTCCTTGTCAGACTGAGAGGAAGGAAATTATTCTGCAGCTAAACTGGGAGCAGAGGAAGGGATTCAATTTTTCCTGCTAGAGAAGCTAACCCAAATATTCTGGTTTTGGTATTTATTCTCTTTTTTATTTTTTATTTATTTTATGCCAAAAATCATTTGGAGATGTGGGACTAGATATAAAACTTGATTTTCACACGTAGTTTACTAATGTTTGCCTGTCCAAACACTGACCCTGCCTAACACAGATGATCTGGGGTGGTGACAATGCACTTGCTAAACACTTGGCCAAACCCCAGCTCTTGGTTAGGCAAGATCCCCAAAGTCTATTTCCTCTTCAGTCTGTGGCAATGACAGCAGCCACAATTTAAACAATAGCAGTCTTGATGTGTCTGCAGTCACACTGGGGAATTTTGCTCTATGCTGTTTAATCAGTGATGCCAGAATTTTACTTGAATATTTCCAGTAGCATAGCGAGTCACTAAGCAGAAATATGTCTGTTAAAAGTTCTTGCTGTTCAGATTATTGGAATAGTTGATTACATCTGAAGGTATCTTAAAGAAATTTGCTGTTTGCATAATTAGATGTTTTGCATGAATATTCAAGTGTCAATCACTGCTTCACCTTTGCTGCAGCAGATGACTCTTCATGTGTTTGTAATCTTGCTTTCTTTTCTAACAGGATGATGTGAGGCAGAAAGTGCACCTGAATACCTTTGGTTTCTTCAAGGATGGTTTCATGAGTGTGAATGTCAGCAACCTTTCCCTGAATCCAGAACCAGGCCCTGATGAGAAGGACAGTTTATTAGTGAGTTCTTCCTGTGAAATTGCCCTCCACTTGTCTGAGGTGTCAAATCCAAACTCTTGATGCTGTTGGCTTTGCTTCCCAGCATGAGCCAATGATGAGGATCTGTGTATTGAGATTTATCCCTGAGCTCTCTCCTTTCTGCTGTAAGGATGAACCTTTAACTTGTTGGATCTCTGCTGAACTCAATGCACACATCCATAACTTACATTGAACATCAATTTCCTAACAGTCCTCTGAGTTTTTTCACACTGTATCATGGTGCATTGCAATTCAGCTTGTGATCATTGTTTCAGTAGGTTTCTAGAATACTGACAGTCTTATTTTTAACAGAACTCTAATATTACATGTTATACACCACATTATATTAGGGGTTTTAAAAGAGATTAGATAACAGACCTGAGTTCTTCCTCTTCTGCAAAGTTTCATTGCTAGAAAGTATTAAATATTTTTGTCAAGCAAAAATTTGTGGAATAATACTGAAATAAGTGAAAATGTTCAGAGACAGAAGATACTCCAGATTTAGTTTGGGTTTGAATCATGATTTATTTTTTTCTTGGTGGATATGGATGAGTTTGTTACATTTGAATGTATTTTTCTGCCTGATTTGGTGATGAGAAAGTACCTGAATTCCACCTTAAATAGAGATTAACTTGTTTAGAAAGCAGTATTTATGACTCTTTCAGTAGTGGTTTGGCTTCAATTTGACAGATTCCTCTCACTTGTCTCCTAGGTGGGGTTCAGCTTGGACCGAACAAGGAATGATGGTTTCTCCACTTACCTGGTAAGAGTAAGGGAAGTGAGCTTGCTTTTCTAAGATGGGACATCTCACAGTCTACCTGACTCTGGGGATGGCTGGAAGAAATAAAAAAAAATATTAAAAATTGTGGGGGCTTTAGACATGGGCAGGATGGATTTAGAACTTGCTGGACTAGGAATGATAATCTCTACCTGGAGGACAGCATGTCCAGAGGGCACTTCAGAGGTGTTTTGTTCATCTTATCAGGATGAAGAAGTGGATTATTGTATCTTGAACAAGACTCCAGAGCCAGATGTCTCTGTTGTGATTTTACTTCTGGACATCCAACATGAAGTGTGAGTAAAGGATGTAAAAGACGTTTTAAAGTTACTTCTTCAGTTGAGGATAATGTCACACTTGAGGTTTTTTTAGGGGCTTGGAAAGCATCTGTGCATGTAGGTTTTTTTTTTTTTAAGGGGTTACATGACACTTGAGAGGAAGTGAGTGTAAAAGTAAAGCATCTGCAGCATAAACTGGTCTAAGAATTCTTCCTGTGTATTGCAGGGGTAAAAGGACAGCAGGCAAAACCAACCTACCTTAATTGTGCTGAATGAGCTTAATGAGCTTTGATTTCTTGAGTCACTTTTGCACTCAATGTGAAATTTTGTTTGTCTTGAATTATCTTTTATAATGGAAGTATCTTCAAGTCTGTATTGCTTCCTTTTGCAAGAGCTCATGTGTGGTAACACAATTTCTAGTGAGACTCTGCTTACCAAAGCTGAAGAAACTTAATTTTCTTCATCTGCTCTTGTATTTCATGTAGAGATAGAGTGTGACTTTTCCCACACTGATCAGTTCTGCTGTGAGTCATGATCTGGTTCTTTCCTGTTCTTTGTGGTACAAAAACAAGTTCAGACAAGTTCATTTTCCTTTATTGGGTATATGGCTGTGACAGCCTCTTTAAGAACGTTGGTTTACTTTAATTTTGTAATAAAATCTCTTTGTTTCTTTAGTGTGAAAGTACAGTTCTCTTCAAAAGCTGCTTCTTTGTTACCTAAAATTGTATTTGTATCTGAGGAAAATGGTACTGCCTTAAATACCAAGCTGCTAAAATCTTCTGAACTGAGCAGTGATTCTGATAGAAGTCCTCAAAAGACCAGTGAAAATACAGGTAATGAAGGTAAGCCAGCTAAACCTGACCTGTGCATGCTCTCACTGCTGATTCCTCATTGCTGTGCATCCAGCACTGAGTTGTGGTCACATTCTGGGGGCCCCTGGGGCAAGAACTTAATGTACATCCTGTGTAACCTGTGCTCAGAGCTGCCTGTGGGGCTGGAGGCTCCTGCTCAGTGATTTGTGTTCACCACTCCTGTTGATCCATCAGAGACAGTGAGAGTTGGAGACCTTCAGTGAGGAGGGGTTCACAATTTAGTTGTCTTTTGTCTGGCAAAAAGAAAGCTAAAGGGATAATTTTATGGCCACCAACCAAAGTTGAAGAAAGGTTAGGAGGACAATTTCAAGCAATTTTTAGTAGTGGCACATGATGTCTGTTTCTCTTTATTAAGTCTTGGATGTCTCAGATGGGATGTTAAGACAGAAAATAAGTAAAATAAATAAGATTTCTTTCCGAAATAGGTATTCCAGTATTGTAGCAGATCATTTGTGCTATCCAATCTCCATATTTTGTGGTTTTAAATGCTTGACAAAGTAAAACCAGGGCCAACATGATGCAGCTGACACCAGGTGTGCTTTGAGTCAAAAGCTGGATTTGTCTTCAGGAGTCCTTTCCAGCCAACATTTCTATGAGTCTGTGTCTGTCTAAAGAGTTGAACTCCTATCACTTAGAAACTATGGGGAAGGAGGAGGAATTGTCCCAGTAATCTTTCTAGGAGGCACAAGCCTTTGTCTGGCTTCCAGACCAGCAGACAAAATAATTTTATAATCTCAGCTCTAATGGGATTAGCTGATGTTATCCCTTCCTGGCAGAGTTTAGACTGCTGAGCAGGCTGATCTGGAGTAGTCTGAGTCTGTCTTGGCCTGTCACATTCACCAGCTTTGATACCATTCAAAAGCTTGGACAGCTGTTGTAACCAGTCAAGAACCAAGGGTGGATGGCACTGAGAGAATGGATCTGACAGCTGAAGTTTTGCTTTCTCTGGTGTAAAAAGTGTGGACAGTGCACTGAGGTGTGGGAGCCAAAAGCAAAGCTCAGGTGTTGAACTTTTGCTTCCTGGTAGAAAGGAATGACCTAATGTTTGAAAAGCTTCCTGTAGGAGTAGAGTCAAACTGTGAACTTGATGTGCTGCTCTACTGAAGGCTCCTGTCACCTCAAGTTCAGGGGAAATGCTGACCCAGCAGGTCACCTATGCTTTTGTGGGTTTTTTGCTTGTGTTTTTACTGGGAGCTTAGTGGAAAGCTGTAAATTTATTCCATCCTCATATGGAAATTAGGATTTCCATATGTTTGTCAGGCCATGTATTAATGCTCAGATTGAGATTTGTCAGTGAGGTGAACAGTACTCAGTCATAACATAAAAAGTCAGAGCTGTGGCTTGCATCTGCTTTAGGTCACCTGCCTCTGGTCACCTAAAGAGAGGTTGGAAAGATTTCTGGGGTAGACTTTTGTAGGAGGTGTAAGAATAGGGAATCATATCCTGGCAAGTGAGGATGCATTCAGAATGAATGCTGGCTGTGGGAAGAGTCCTCTGAGAGTAAGGAGAGGCTGGGGCAGCATCTCTGTCAATGATTAATGAGCTGGGAAATGCCACGCAGACAAGTGTAGGAAGGTGTGACTGAGGTATTGACAACGTGGTGGTTTCTGAGGGTGTCTAAATGCAAACACTAAATGTACCATTAATTCTTTTATCTCTAGATAAGGAGTCCAAACGAAGTACAACATCCTCCAAGGTAAGAAACTATCTGGAGTTCTCTTTCACAAAGACCCTGGGGGCATATTTCAGTAGAATCATAGCAGAAAAGTGGAGAGTATTTACTATTGCTCTCAGCCTCCACTGTAAATATACAGAATGCAAATTTTATTGTCTGCTTGATGTAGCCAAATGTTTTAGTTACCTGCTTAAGAAAATCTAAAGGTCTCTTTCCCTTTTCCCAGGACATGATAGAACAACAACATCCTGTACGCCATGTCCAAGGAATTTTTTCATTTCAGGTAGGGTGTCTGCCAGTGTCTAAACTCAGTTCCTTCACTGTCCTACTTTGGAAAAGTGAAAGTCTAGGATATAGATGTCTCTCTGATAGCAGGAGTTTGCCTGAGAATTTACTGAGCTAAGCATCAGTGATGGAAATCTTTATAAGTTGTGGGAGCTGCTTTTAAATTGGCTTTGTTGTGATACTGTTCTAAATATCATAGTCTATGAGGGTCAGCATATTAAAGTTTACTGTGATAGTTGTGCAGGTTGCTGATAACAAATAGCTGTGACCTGACTGATGACTCAAGGGAAGATCCTGTGTATGAAACCAGATTAATGCTTTGTTTGAGCACCCTGGTTCACTTGTGATGGCTGGTTACTACAAACACATTTGAAATTCTGTTATCTGACACAGATCTCATTTCCAGAGCTATAACAATTTGCATAGTTGGGGGAGGAACAGAAAAGCTGCAGGGTGGGTATAATAAAAAATTTATGCTTTGCCATGTCAAATATATTGTATTTGTGGGTATCTTTTCTCTGTGCTGAACTGAGTTAAGCACTGACACTTTAACAGGCTTGGATTACCAGAGTGCATAGTCCTAGATAGGTGCAATGATTTTGCATCTGGAGTTCTGTTGAAACTTCCAGATGTGCTGCTGTCCTCAGAACAGTCTGCATGCTCAAGGGAACCAGCTGACCTCAAATGACTGACTTCTTTCATGCTTCAGTAGAGATGACTTCCTACCAGGGCAACCCTGTTGTGAATGAGAAGAATGCTGACTTCTCTATTCCTTATTTTCAGTTCTATTTTAACATCAGCTCGGACAAACAAGAAGGTCTCTACAGCCTGTATTTCCATAAGTGTGCTCGTGAGAAAGGGCCAGCTAATGATCAGCAGCTGTTTAGTCTTGATGTGAGTATGGATTCTAAAGGATAATTAACTTGTTAGCTTAGACTACAACATCCAGCTTTCAGCTCCAGCTTGTAACCAAGCACACGCTGCACATGAGTGCACATATGGGGTGGGAAGTGATTCAGAATTGTGTGCCAGTCTCTACAGTGGCATTTCTGAAAGAAGTGACTACTGTAAAAATAATTAAAATACTGTTTTTGCAGAAATGCCTGAAAATCTGAAGGCTGAATGTGGGCTGGGTTCAGTCTACACAGTTGTGACCTGATGCTGTAACGAGATGGGAGCTGCATCAGCTGCTTGTGTTTTGCTGCACAGAAAAGTCACTTTTCTCTTTACATGATTGCAGATATTAAGGCTGTTGCCGCAATGTAAATTGTTGGTATTTGAATTCAGTGTTTTTGCTTTTTCTGGCCTAATTAAAGATGTGTTTTTATGGTGTTAGATACACATCCTAAAGGCAATATGTTCTAGCAAATGCCTCATCTCTTTTGATGTACAGGGGTTTGTTCCTATGTGGTTTTGGTTGCTATCAGAGCTTTCTCTTTTTTCCCTTTCCTGTGCTCATGCTGGTGTGTAATGAGCTGGTCTGGTATGAATCCTCTCACTGACAGAGGTACCTCAGCCACATCAATCCCTGGACTGCTTTTTATGTGTTTGTGTTAATGCTATTGCAAGGGAACATGGACGTGATAAAACTTAGCAGCCCTAATTTGACTCAGACTACTTCAGAGCTGCTTCAGAAGTTACAGGTTTAGAGGACCAGCTTTCATAAATTGCTGTGTGGGTCACTTTGACCCAGTGAGGAAATTGCAAAGAGAACAAAATGTGGCTGATTGGTCTGCTGGGGTGTACTTAGAGATGCAGGACAGCTTCAGACCAGACTCAATGCATGATGTTATTGAAGTCCTAGCACATATGACTAAGCCACTTAAGGGTATAAATAGAATGCTAAATAGTACTTCTGTTTTCTCAGTCACAGGAAAATAGGTGGCAGCCCATTGTAGATATTGTTTCTGAATCAAAGGTGGGCAATTTGTGACGTTTGCTAGAGAGAACAACTTATTCTTTGGGAAAATTACCTTTCTGAATTATGTTTCATAACCAAGGCATTATTTTCCAAGGAGGTTATTCTGGTGGAAATAGTTTTGCAAAATGTTTAGAGATTCTTAATGATGAAGAATGGATTTTGGTTTTTTTTCTCTGAGACTCATAAGAAAGCCCTTCAGAAAAGCTCATGTTAAATGAGTGAATTTGATTGCAGAATGTAATTGTTAACTCAATGCTTTAACAAAACGATATTTTTTCCAACTGCACACATAACACACCTTTAATATTCAGATAGATGTTACGGAAAAGAATCCTGAAAGCTACCTCTCAGCAGGTGAAATCCCACTGCCAAAACTTTACATTTCCATGGCTCTCTTCTTTTTCCTGTCTGGGACTGTATGGATCCACATACTTCGGAAACGCAGGTAGGTTCAGGGTCTGTGACAAGTAGGGACCAACTTTGTGTGGTTTTTATTTTTCATTCCTCTTCTTGTAATGCCCCTTTCACAGTCAGATTTGATCACTTCAAACTCCAAATCTGGCTCAGGTTTGTATGCTTAACACAGATAGTTCTTATTTGAAAACTGTTTCAGTCAGTATTGTTGTTGCAGACTGTCATTCTAAAATTCCCAAGTCTTATGTTGAAAGTTCTTCAGGTAGTGTACATATTGTGGCAAAAAATAGACAGGAAATTGCTGTAGCTGATGTTAAAAGGAGGAGACTTTGAAAATAAATAGTGAGAAAAATTTCATCACTTTACTTCATTTGCAAAATGGTAAATTATGGCAGTAGAGAGCCATAAATATCTTGATTGTGGTCTGAATTATGTTTAGCAAATTTTTTAACAGTTAAGAGATAAGTATTTATATATAAATGTGGGATATTCTTATTAGTTAATAATTTCAGTAATCCCAAGCAGTAAAATCAGGGGTTTAGAACATGAGGTTGAAATATTGCTCAGGATATGGCAGAAATTTGGACTGCAGCATTAAGGGGAATCTTTTTACACTGATGGTCAGCTCAGCCTGGAAGCAACTGCTTGACACTTAGAGGTTTTAAAGAAATATGAAATGTTTACTGCTGGCTTTTAAGTAATGCTCTTCCTTCTCTTTTTTTCTTCCTAGAAATGATGTCTTTAAGATCCACTGGCTCATGGCAGCCCTGCCTTTCACCAAATCCTTGTCCTTGGTCTTCCACGCGGTGCGTGCAGCATCTCTGCCTGAATTGGTTCAGCTAGGAAGGAGAAACATGGAATCCAGGGCATGCTGATAGGGAAATCTGCTTTGGAGGGAGCACAGTGGGAGGGAGAACTGCTCTTAATACTGAAGCATTAAAACTGAACTGCAGCTCTTTAGTGGAAGTGTTGTTTTTATCACCAAATTCTAACTTTAAATACAATTGAGATCGTGGTCTGAAGTGTTGAAGCAGCAAAGGTTGGGGTTTGAGTGAATTTCACAAATTTTAATGTTTTGGCCATCTACAGTGGGCCTGAAAGCTTGGGCTGTGCTGCTGCTTCAGCTCCAGGGCTTGCAGTAAATATTAATAAATGAAAACCTTGTTTGTAAAATTCAAAGGCAAGGAAGTATTATGGTGTATAACAACAGACCTCGCCTTAACCAGCTCTGAGACTTCCCATAGATAATGTCTCTGTTGAATTGTATTGACTTTCTACTGGAAATATATCTCATGAACAAAGTAATGGCAAGCATTTAATCCTTCAGTGTTTGTGCCAGCCATGTTCATGCCCACGGTGTTATACCTGCTACAAATATTTTTGGAGTCTAATTAAGTGAATCTGGCTTCCAGTGAAAATGAAACTAGCAAGCCTCTAGTCACCTAAAGCAACTGAACCTGAAAAAATGAATGGAAAAATAGGTTTCAACTGCAGTTGTTTCACTGTAGTTAAGCAGGGGAGTTGTGTGGGAAGGATGTAGATTGTACAAGATACATCCACTGGCACTTGGGAAATAGAGCAAATGGAAATGATCTCATTGTTGCTAAACAAAAGTAGAATGTGTTGGGAGGAAGTGCTCTCTGAATGTGACAGAGCTGGGTCTGTACACACTGACTGGAAAGTGAAAGTGGCAGTGGATGTGGAGCAGACCTGTTTTTAGAGGGTGGGGTGTCAAAAGCAGCTTGTGAAGTGCTGTGTTTTCTGTTTCCAGATCGACTATCACTACATCTCTTCTCAGGGATTCCCCATCGAGGGCTGGGCTGTTGTGTATTACATCACTCACCTGTAAGTATGTCAAAGATTGATGTGATAGATTCAAATTGCTACTGAGGCTTCTCCCTCCTGTAGAGAGTGGGAAATCTTTGTTCTCATGCAGACCACAGTACCAAAGACTCAGCAATGAGCCCTGTGTGAAGGGGAAAGCTCCACTTACAGAGGGCAGCTGCAGAGAATTGGCACTTCTGTGGGTGGAGGAGTAAAAGGATAACAAATGCTTTACTTTTCTTTGTTCACACTAATATTCAAGTATCTCATTTGCTCCTGGTGTGAATGGTAAGTGGATACAGCTGTCAGTATTTGCTGCTGCTCACAATGGTGAATGGATGACTCCCCCAGGAAAAGATTGCATATATTGTGAATGGAGCCTAATATTGCTCTGTGATACAGAGTTGTAGCAAGTACATCTGCTTCCAAATTGTGGGATGGATAAGTGCTTGCCAAAATTATGGATAGGGAAGCATTTGTTTGGGTTTGTGGCTTTATTGGCAGTGGGAGAAACCTGGGCAGAAGAGGAAGTGTGATAAAATAAAATAGTCTCTCACTGCAGTGTCTCTTTCTCTTCCAGACTGAAGGGAGCTCTTCTGTTCATCACTATTGCCCTCATTGGCACAGGCTGGGCTTTCATTAAACACATCCTGTCAGATAAAGACAAAAAAATTTTCATGATTGTCATCCCACTTCAGGTGAGGACTGAGCTGTGCTCACACTTCCTGTCTTGTGGGAGAGCTGCTTGTGCAAACTGGAGAAGGCTGTGAAAGCTTCACCCAGTACCATGTAGTTCTAGCTTGTATGAGCCTATTGGCTATTTCCTAGTCCAGAAGATGATGTAGTTCTCCCAATTTTTCTCCCATATTGAGCATGAGATAATAGTGATCAAAGAGTTTCAGCAAATGAAAACTGGCTATAAGGAGTGGGACAAAACCTGGGTTGGTAAAAAGTGCTGAGTAAGTAGAGGAAATGAATTAAAGTCACTGCTGAAATGCTTGCTGAGTGTCTTAATGAAATAAAAATTGGGAAAAACAAGACTTGTAGGTCTGCTGGTTCAGAGTGCTCAGTGCTGGTCTCCTACTTAAGGAACTGAAGTACATAGGAGAGCAGCACTTTTGTTTGTTGTTGTATGTAGAAGAGATTTTCTGCCTTTCCAGATGCAAGCCCTTAGCAGAAGTATCTATAATTAGTGATTGAGGCTCTTACAGAGCTCAGGTGGGGAGTACAAAGGATGGTCAGTGACCAGTCTGAATTACTGGCTTGATTTAGCATTGTGTATTTTCACTATTGGCTGTATGTGCCACAGTCCTGTATGTGTGTATCAAAAGTAAATTTTGCTCCTTTTTATCTCAACTGATACAGTAGATTAAACACAGTATATAACAAAAGAACATTTCTGAATATCAGCAGGAATAAGTTTCCATCAGTTTTATTTCTGTAAAATTTATGAAGATGCTGCTGAACATGTGGCTTTTGGATGTACAGCTGCAGAAAAATTACTGATGGTACTGGCTGGGCTTTTGCCAAATTGGCACCCACCTGTAGTGGCTCCTTGGGCAGTTTCTAAACCAGAACTTTGTGTTGTTGTGTAGGTACTGGCTAATGTGGCCTACATTATCATAGAGTCAACAGAGGAGGGGACAACTGAGTATGGACTGTGGAAAGAAATCCTTTTCCTGGTGGACTTGCTGTGCTGTGGAGCCATCCTGTTCCCAGTGGTATGGTGAGTTGCTGGATGTGGGAAACATGTGAACTAAAGGCCATTGACAGCTCTGCCAAAGCACAAGAGCTCTGTGGTCCTGTGGAGTCAAACATTCTGTTAACTTTGATATCAGCCTTAACATTTCAGTCTAGTGCTATGGAAGATGCTCCTTTTGAGGATGTTGGAGTGGGGATAAGGGAAGGTGGGTGGCAGTTTAAATGTGGCCAGCACTGTGCAGGCTGTAGGTGCTTTTGAGACTTGGAGTTTTGCAGAAGTGTTGACTCTCTAAATTGAAAAAAATGGGATTTGACTTCACTGACTGAGATTAGATACTTTACTGCTAAATTTCAAACCAGAAGGGCTGTCTAAGATCAGGGCTGCCATCAAGCAGAAGCTGCATGTTTATTTGACTGTTTATAAGAAATAATCCCACAGGGAGCATTTCCCCGCCCTTCCTTCCACTCTACTTGGCAGGGAATAATGTTGGTTATATAAAACTCAACCAAAACACAGATAATTCAGATAAACACTATTGTTGCTGCTTGCCAGTTAGCCAGAACATTTATCTTCTAAATGCATTTTGTCTTAATTGGATAAACAGCTGGGTTTAAAGGAGGATGTCAAGGAGCTTCTGGCTCCTTGCTTAGTAAACACAGAATATTCCTCTATTTCTCCAGTATCTCCATTATTTTTTTCTGAAAAGCAGATTATATAAATGTCTGGTAGCGTGGCATCACTCTAGAGTGTAACTCTTGAGTTTTTCAGAGGTGTGGCTCAGTAGATGGAAGTAAACTCCAGCTTTGCTTGTGAAGGTGGGTTTCAGCCCTTCTCTTCCCCTGCACACTCCTGGTGGCCTTCTGCCAAGGCTGGGAGATCTCTTCCAGGAAATTTGCTCTACCCACGTGTCCTTCCCCTTGCTCCAGTCCAAATGCTTCAGCTCTGAGGTTGAGGAGTATTTGGCAATGGTAAATAAAAGCTGAGAGACTCAATCTCCTATGATAAAGGTGACTTCTGCAGGCACAGTTCTTGTTACCTAATGCTGGGATCTGTATGCCTAACCTAGTGAGGTGTTGGTACAAAACTTATTTCCATAAAGGAATTGTATCTGAAAAATAAATGTGAGCTGTCTTGTGACTGTTTATGGTGTGCAACCAGTGTTCCTGCATTGCCACGGTGCCAACATAAACTGGCAGTGAAGCCCCTGACATAAAATCCTGCTCCTTTTTCCTCTGGATAGTGTCACTGCAGCTGGTGGGATGACTCATGTGAGCAAGGTGACTAAGACTTGGCCCCTGAATTTACATTCCTGCAGGGTAGTTTCTGTTACATAAGTTGCCTATGTAGATATGTAAGCTGTAATCAACTATTTAAATGGAAAGACCTTAAAAGAGCAGTAAGATGCCAAATGCTTGGCAGTACTTTGAAGAGTAGCTCAGCTTAATTGTACAAGTGGAAAGCATTATGCTGGAAAATGCCCCAGTTTCTCACTCTGCTCCCTCCCTCCCACAAAGCCTTCTGTAGGCTGAAGTAGGTTTTAGCAATCTGCTTTCTTAATCCCAAGGAAATGGAGGTACTTGAGCTGGGGGCATGAGGGGTGTGCAGTGCTGAGCACAGTTAATTAAGATCATACTCCAGCCATAAAGAGCTAACAAAACTTATCAGTGATCTAGAGAACTGCTGTGAAGAGGGAGTGTAAAACTTATCATTCATCTATTCTTTATTTTTAGGTCAATAAGACATTTGCAAGAGGCTTCAGCAACAGATGGGAAAGGCAAGTAATCTGTATTCTTTTTCCTCTTTTATGCTACATGTTATAATGCCAGAATTTCAAACATGTGATGCTGATGTAAAAGCCAAACTAAGGCTGTACATCTACACTGTATTAGTGCCCCTCTGCTTTTCCTCAGTGGGCTCAGGGGAATAACTTTTGGAAAATTATCTTTTTCCTGTATTGCATTAATTATCAGAACTACAGTGTATAACCCATTCTCTGCTCCTTGCACAGCCCTCAGTGCTCAAGCTAGACATGACATCTAGAGCAAATCATCCTGACAGATTTGCCATTTTTTCCTCACTTGAATGTTCAGAAACAGAACTAGAAATGAATTCCAGAATTGCTGACTATTAGCCCAAATAGACCCACTTATTTCAATTTCTGCAGAAATGTATTCCTGACAGAATAGAGGGAAATAAACTTCATTATGAAACAAAACATAACTTAGCATTCAATATAGCACAGACCCTGACTTGTCCATGTTTGTGCAGCAGCTCCAAGGGCTGCCTGGGGAAAGTGGAGTTGTGTTTATTGTAGCACTGAAAAGGAGCTGATGGATGGAAAGGCCAAACATGGCTGCAGTAGAATGTGCTTTTCCTGCCTTATCTGCTCATTTCTTCTGGATTAGGTCCTTGGATACAAGCTGTGGAGCACAGCACTGGCTTCCTTGGAAGCAGGCAGCCTTTTCCATCTTCTGTCATTCTGTGGTTTACTCTCCAAAGCTTCATCTGTAGAAGGTCATTTGCTGGCAACAGCCTTTTAACTTCAGTCCCATCCTTCAGCTCTTGGCTCTCCTTTCTTGAATTCTGTAGCCAGGTCTGGATACTCTTCCAGCCTTTTCCTTAGCTTTCACAGACACTTCTGCACTTCACTGATTGTAGGTGAAATTTAAGGCTGGGTACTGAACTTACAGATTAGTTCATTTTCTGCTATCTGTTAAGTTGAAACAATACTTGTGATCACCCTAGCATGCTTTCTTGATGTTTCAAGCTGTTGAAAAAACCATCAAACAACAGCCCACAAGTTACCTACCCCAAGCCTAATGGTGGAAAATTACTAATTTCTAATAGAAACAAATGTTAAAAAGGTCAGTAATCAAAGTGTAATATAAATGTTATTGGTAGCTTTCTTATCAGTGTATTTACCTGGGTTCAGTGATTTACTGGTAGATTTGTTTTACCTTGTCCACTGAACATATGTTCTGGAGTATTTATGCTCTTACCTTTGATAAGTTCAGATTTCCTTGAAGCAGCCTGTCTGCTGAACCAAGGACTTCACACATGTCAGGCCTGGTTCTTAGCTGGGTGACCATGGATGTGTGTCCTGGTGGTGAGCACACAGCAATTAATGCATGTAATTAAGACAGAAACCCTTCAGGTCTGTGTGGCCCCATGTGATCCCTGTGTGTCTACCATGGTTGTTATCACAAGGTGGTGCTGTGGAGTTTGATAAACCTCAGACATGCTGAGAAGGAGACAAGTGAGGTGGCCATAGCAGGAATGTTCACCTGTCCACCTCATACCAGGTGAAATCCAGATCTGAGTAAATCCAGGCAATTCTGTAGGATGCACTGTGGTGTGTAAAAAATGTGGAAGGAAAAAAATGTTAATTTGAGAGGAAACTGGCTGTGTCTTTACAGCCAGTCAGTGCTATGCACAGTAACACTTAAGGTCTGGTTTAGTGCTGTGATTTGTGTTGTTCTCCACGGGTGATGATGCTCTTTATCCTGAATCTCACCTCTGTTCCCAGCTTTACCTACTGGTGTTGCCCTCTGGTTGTGCAGAGCCTGCAAGTTCAGTGACTCTGTATTCAAGGGGACTTAGCAACTCTGTTATGCTACACTGATAATAAAAGAATAGCTAAGGAATAGATTTTCAGGGCAAACATTGCTCAGCCTGGGAGCAGATTGTGGCTGCAGTGCTGGGACTCTCTTGTGAAACACAATCTGGTTGGACTATTTAGAGGCTGTTGAAAGGAGCCCACGGGGAGCAAGTGAATGGCAAAGTGATGCCAGCAGCAGAATGTTATCTAGTGCTGTCGTGCTGCTAGTGTGGCTGGTGGAGAAAACCAAAAGTGATTTGGTTGCACTGTAAAAAAAGTGAAATCATTCATGTTAGGCTTATCAATGAATTCTTTTCATTAGAACCACATGCTCTGTAAGCTTCCTTTGGAGCTTCTGTTCTTCAGAGGGGCTGCTCGATGTCTCAGCTTCTCATGGGAATAAAAAATAGAATCAATGCTTACTATTAAATTACAAGCATTTTTTCCCCCTGCAGTTAAAGGCAGTTTTCTCCTGAAGTAGTAAAAGTTACTGGATTTTCTCATGATGCAGTTTGTGTCCCATGGTTAGAGCTGGCTGGGTTGTGTGCAGACACTGCTAGCTGGGCTGCCTCTGCCTGCTGGGATTTATTGTCTAGTCAAGGGCTGCTTTCCCTCTTGTCTAACACAGACTTCATTAACTTATAGGATGTATTGGGGAATTACATTCTACACATTCAATTGCTGTTTTTCCTGGCTGTTTTTCCTGTTTCAATTCCTGTTTTTCCTGAGTCTTCTGGTGATGTCCTTGCCGATGACAAAGACCTAAGGAAAATTATTTTTCCTTCCTTGCATCTGTTAGGACTAACAACTCCAGGACTTCATGGCTCAGTATCCTGGTGGTGTTTCCTGCCTGTTTGTCCTGCTCTCTCCCAGCTGCTTCTCCACCTGTTTATTAGGTAGCAGTGGCCTGGGTCAAGTGGCAGCCATGACTGGAGTGTGACTGGATTAGGAATGAAGCAGATTTGGATTTACCAGACCTTTAGTCTGGGCTTGTCATAGGCTTTTGTTTTAGCAACATACAATTAATAAAAAAGCCTGTTAAAAGTGGCACTGATTTGGAGTCACTAGCTAATAGTAATTTAAACTAGATTTGGTATTTTAAAAGAAAAACAAAGTGGGAAAGCTGGAGAAATGGGTCTAAAGCCATAATTATCCAGGGAGGCCTTACATACCCAGATGCTGTGGATTGCTAGTGAAGAGTAGGCAGGGCACAGTGCTATGGCTGAGTTTGAGCTGCCTGGTTGTTTGCTTTTTTCCCTTGAAGGTAATCTTTAAAGCAGTATATCTGACCTACACAGGCTTCTTATCTTGCACAGCAGTGGGCGTAAACATCCCATTTTTAGAATCTGTTTTCCTCCCCTTTTAAAATCGCCACCTTCAGACTTAAGCAAGTGCTTAGCTACACCTTTGATCTGTCACTATATCTTCCTTCAGGTGGGAGCCTTTGCTCTCTGTCCATTTGTAGATCTGCATTGCAAATGTCTTGCAGATTTAAGGAAATCAGCCTTGCAAACTGACCTAGAATTGCTCAGCCTGCAAAGCTGCTCAGCTGCCACCACCTTGTTTACAGGCATCTCGAGAAAAGAGAGAGTATATATATAATTTATACATCATTTTTGTTTGAAATTCCTAGTTTTTGGTCACTGGACCAAAAGGTCTCATAGCACGTTCTTGTGATCACCTCCTGTGTTGTTTGAGGGAGGAATGGGTTGGAAAGCAGTTTGTTCTGCTGGTACCTGTGTGTTTGTGATGAGAGATGTGACACAGCACTGTTGGATCATGGGTTGCTGTTTTCCTGGAGCACTGCAGTTAGAGTTGGCAGCAGAATTAGGGAAATACATGGCAGCCTGTTGCTCCCAGGCATCATTCATTGCCTGTGCTCTGTGCAGTGGGCAAATGATGATTAATGCTTTTGTGCTTGCCCCCATGTCAGGAAAAACCATTTGCAGTGTTCAGCGTCCTCCTGCTGCTGTGCCATGAAAATGCTGTGAGCAAAGAGCCTGGTCCTGTGTGGTGCAGAGCAGCCTGTGCTTGCCTGGGCTCAGCACCACTTCCAGGTGCCCCAGAGAGCTGTCCAGGGTTGATGTGGCAGCTCTGTGCTTATCCTGTGCTTTGGACTTTCATCTGACCCTGGTGGAGCAGTTTTGTGCCAAATGGCTGATGTGGTTCAGGACATTCAAGATTAACAAGTCTGTGCCACCTTCTGTGTGACACTGAGCCTTGCTGTATCTGTCTGACCTCTTCTTTCTAGTACAGGAATGCTTTTAGGCAGACAGCTCAGGCTGTCATCTCAGAGCTGATTTTTCAAGGGTTAGATCTACATGTGCTGCATCATTGGGGGAGAGCAGAAAGCTTCCATTTACAGTTTGATAATGGCACAAATCACATCTCAAATGCATCAGCATGAGCAGGGCAAGCAAAGCATTGAAGAAATACTCTCAGCTGTACCTTGAGCACGTTCACTGGCTGCATTATGGTTTTTCTTTATGGATTGTATTGTCTGGGCTCAAGCTCCCTGCACCCTCAGCTGCAGTCCTGTGATTGTTATTACATACATATCCTGAAAAGGTTGGATTTATTCATCAAAAGGCTATTGTGTGGTGTGCAAGTGGATGGTCCAGCTTTTTTTTCCATCTTCTAGAGAGCCTCAACATTGGAAATTAGCATGGGGACAATCTCAAAAAGAGACTGCTTATCAAAACACTGGGTGTGCTCTGTTTTGATCGATGCAGATCAGGCTATTGCAGGCACAAGCTGTTAAAGTAGATGGTGATAGAGAGGGAAAACTGAGTGAAGCAAGGTATAGATGCTATAAATCTTCCGTGGAAGATGGCTTTTATCTTTCTAATTACTGTTTGAAAGAGCATGAGTTAATTTCTGAAACCTTTGGTGGAAGGTCTCTTTTTAAATTTTTTCCCCTTCTCTGCTGTTAAGTACTGTCCTTTGCAGAATGGTTATCATACTCAAAATATAAATTTACCCAACCTTTACTGCATGCTGAGATTGCTGCTGTGTTATCACAGCCTTACAGGTTTGGGTTGCAAGTGATTCAAGTTGTAAGTGACAGCTGCTGGCTGAGCCTTGCTTCTTGTAAATGCTGCTGTTGCTGTCTGGGCTGCCAGGCTGAGGTGAACAGAAATCTTGGAGTGTCCATGATAGCAAGACTCAAATAATACTGCTTGGAGCACATTCAGCCTGTGAAGAAGCAATTCACAAGCTGCTGATGCCAAGCAATGATGATTTTAGATTTTTCTCCAGAACAGTGTGTCCTGTAACTTTCAGTTGTTTAAAAAAAAAAAACTGGCAGAGTTTTGTAGATGTGCATTAATGCTGACTTACGTATCTGATAGTGGAGAGAAATATTGCTGCAGTTCTGGAGAGCAAGTCAGCTTCCACAGGTGCTTCCTTAGCCTTTCTCCTTGGTGGTGGCTTTTTTCCTCTCCTTGCCCTTCCTTCCCATGCTCAGACATTGAATATGTGAATATACCAATTGATATGTATACACAATTTATGACTCTTTGCTATTGATTATCATGACGAATAGCTGAGATGTTGAGCTGTGCTCCATCTCTAACTGGGAGAGGTGGAATTCTGACACTTGATTTACAATCAGATCTTTGGCTTTGCTGTCCTTTCCTCCTATGCTGTGCATGAATCCAGCAGAAATGACTCCCCAGCTCACTGGTGTTGACTGTAAAGCACTGATAGCCTGGCAGTTTGAATCACAGCTGTTGAGTTGGTGTTCCTTCATCTACAAAGCCTGGTAATTCTCCTGGCCTGTCAATGCACCAACTGGTGGCAGTTCTTGAAGTTGGACATGTTGGGATCAAAATAGATCCTTCTGTGTGCAAACCAGTGTGTGGGAAATCACAAGATCTTCATGGTCACACTTAATGCAGCTCTTCTTTAAATAGGACAATATTGCTTTCCTGTTTCACAATTCACTGCACTTACCATCCATATTTACATGCTTTCATCTTTCACCAACTCTATTAGGAAAAGCTTTTAACTTCAGATCATCAGTCATTTCATGCCTTGTGTTGGTCAGGTTGCTGCTCTTACAGTGTGTCTGCTGGAGGAGGGTTTGTATCTGCTTGAGGTGTCTGTAGCATTCAGTGGCACCCCAGGAACACTACAGGTGAGCTGGAAAGGGACTCTTGATCTTTAGATTATAAAAGGAGTTTTATAACAGAATGCTTGCTGTCTTCACGGTACATTTTGTGGTGGGAACCTACAGGAATATATTTGCAGTGTTGCATTTGACACTTTGTTTGCATAAGAAAAGCTGCTTTGTTTTCATCAGAGAAGGTGAAGCATTTCTTAGGGAGCTATTAGCTCTCCTCTCCCTCATCTGAAGTACTGTATTTTGCTGTCTTGTGAACCTGGAAGACCTTACATGCAAATATATGCAGCCTTTTATAAATCATTGCAGTGGGTGAGTTCTGTGAGGGGGTGCAGGTGAACTTCAGCTCCATGTATTGCACTTCCACACCTGATAAATACATTGTGAGGACTTGGAGGGAATACCAGTAAATATGGGGCAGTATTTTTTAACTGGCAGCTCATGTCCATTAGCTCTGAACTGCATCTCTGGATGCTGTCAACAGATCTTGGGTTCTTTGCCTCTCATGTTGTCACAAAAGCATCAGTGGCCTGTGTTTGTAATCCTGCTGCACGTCTAAAAGCTGACTCTCAGAGCAGAGCTGGCAGCTGCTCCATCTGTTGTTGACCTCAGCTGGTTCACATGCTCTCTGTGCTCTCCAGCTGATGTGATGTGTGCAATAATGCAGGTTCACCCTGAGGCCTGGGCTGGCACATTGGGGGAACTGCTCAGGATGATTTCCTGAGCTTGTGAGTTGTGCCTGAACCATGATAGAGGACCTTGCTCAGGTTTTCAGGTGCTTGGGCTGCTGTTCAGCAAGGTGCAGTGGTTCCCAGAGCTGGGATTGCCTGCAAGTTGCTCAGCTCAGCCATAGGCATGGAGCAGGTCAGGGAGGGCTCTAGAAAAGACAGGAATTTTCAGGGAGGCAGTGTCAGGTGGAATGGCCCTTCTGGCAGGAGGGAGTGACAGTGTGCAGTTGACTGTACACAGGTAGAGGAGGGTTCTGTAAAGCAGAGTGTGTGCATATAAAATTTAGTGCAAAAGCAATCTCAGTTCCCTTTTTAAGAGTGAATTCACCCCAGCCTGGGAGTTCTCCTGTATGTGGACATGCCAGGCTGGCACTCTTCAGTAAAATCCTTCTAGCCTCCTGCTTTTGGCCACTTGCCTACCCTGCAGACAGGCATCAAAAGAAATTGTCTCATGTTCACAATTTTCTGATGGACTTTTGTGTTCTCTTGATAGCTGCCATTAACCTAGCAAAGCTGAAGCTCTTCAGACATTACTATGTCATGGTAAGTGAAACACCTGCACACATGCATGTGGGGAACTTGGAAGCTGTTCAAAGCTTTTGAAGGAATACTTATTGAATACTTATTGAAAACTACTGCAGCTGGTGCATGTGGTAGAGGCTCTTGGCACTGCTGTGCTTTGGCATCTTGGTCAACTGGCTTACAATCCTAAAAGCAACTTCCTTTTTTCTCCTAATGGTTATATCCTTCTGTCTCTCTTTAAATTCCAGCTATTTGTAATGCTTCCTGATTTCCTCTGGAGACAGCTTGAGCTGCCAGTTGAATTGATGGGCTTGAATAACATACTGTAAACTTGCTAAAAATTAAACTTGGGACCAAATGGTGCCTGGAGATGCATGTGTGCAGTTCCTGATTAAGTCAGTGGGAGCCATGAGTACGTTTCCCAGGAGAACACAAGCTTCTTAATGATTTCCAACGGCCTCATTTCAGGCTCTCCTAAGTGGCAAGAGTAATAAATTACAGTTGTGATTCTTGAAATTCTATGAAATTGTAATACTTAAAGAATTTCCTGCTGTAACTTGAGTGTGTTACCAATAGTTTGAGTTATTGGATGTTCCACAAGGAGTAGAACCCTCAGCCTGTATCTTCCATGTTTATTGAGGGGAATAATAATGCTGGTCTGACATAATGAGCTGTCTGGGAATTGCTTGAGCTGTTTCTCTGGGGTAAGAAGCTTCTGTAAGGATGGTGCTATTGTTCTCATGCTTTCTCCTTTTCCTTCCCAGATTGTGTGTTACATTTACTTCACACGGATCATTGCAATTCTCATAAAGATTGCTGTTCCATTCCAGTGGAAATGGCTGTACCAGGTATTTGCCAGCAAAGGAAAATACATCCATTTCTTGATGTTTTTCTCTATTATTCTTTAAATATAACTGCACAACAAAATTCCATAAAATGTTGTACTAAAACATCTCAAAGCACAGTGCAGTACCCTGCCTCCTCTTGATTTTATCTCTGATGTGCTTAAGGTGAAAGAATATATTCTTGGTTTTATGTTTGTCCAGCAAGGCTGCTGGATTATACATGAGATGTCTGAAAGTAATTGCATTATTGATTTTCAGTCTTTCAATTTAAAAATGTCTGAAGGAAATTAATCAAGAACATACAAAGGAGAAAAAATTAGTCAGGTTTGCTCTATATAATTGAAGCCTGAGGGAGCCAGGGAAATGGACTTTTGCTCTTCCATCTTCAGGCTTCTTTTGCCTATGGACTTCTAAGTACTTGGTTTCTTAACTCATAATCCAAGTGACTGTGCAGGGAGTCCTTGGAATACATTAGCTGTTGAAAAAACTAAGCAATGTAGGGATGATTCCTTCCCCCACCATTTAAAAGCCAAGTCTTGCCATAGTTCTTTTAAAGCTCTGGAGACCTGGATAGAACTGTAACTCTATTTAAAGTGACAGGGAAAACTGAAAGAACAAAGGATTTGACAGCCTTTAGCCTGGGATTAATGACAACCAGACAGGAATTATTTTATTTCTGCTGTGGCCCAGGCCTCTTGGCCATTAAACCTTGAACCTTATGAATGAGGAGCAATGTTTCATGGCCACAGAGCATAGCAGGACTGAACCTCCATCTCAATCTCATGTTTTCCCTTGCAGCTGCTGGATGAAATGGCCACATTGGTGTTCTTTGTCCTCACTGGGTACAAGTTCCGTCCAGCATCAGACAACCCTTACCTACAGCTCTCTCAGGATGATGAGGATGACTTGGAGATGGAAGCTGTGTAAGAACCCCTCTCCCCTTCATTTGATTTGGGAAAAGTAGTATTTAAAACCAGTTTACTTGAATCTCTTTAAATCCTTCTGTGACAAAGATCTGCCCATGTTTAAAGAGGAGATGTTTATATTGTTGTGTGTAAAGAGATTTGTGGTGTGCACAGGAGCCTCTGACCTGGATATTGCAGTAGTATGGAAAAAACTGGTGAAAGCTTTTCATGGGACAAAAAGATGCCCGTGAAAATGAGAAGAAAGTTTTCAATTTTAATTTAGATATGGAACATGAATGAGTTTTACAGTTCATCATTAATGCTTCATATTTAAAAAAACCCAAGTGAACACCACCAAACTGCAGAACATAAATAATAATAAATATATAAAAATAATATAATAAAAATAGATGAACAGGGTGTAAAGTCCCTTCTGCCTTGGTGTTCAGCATATAGCTTTGCAGAAATTTATTTTAAGCAGCACTGAGCCAAGGAGATGGATTTTTATCAATATCTTCCCTGGTTTATTCCCTGCTGTGAAACCATGAGGCACCACAAATGCTTCAGGACCTGAGCTAGTCTGGAAAAATTATACAGCAGGGCTCAGGCTAAGTCCCTGTCATTTTCTTTGCAGTGGTTTTCTGAGGACTTAAAAAATTGAGTGGCATTTTTGAATGTGTAATTAAAAATGCCCTAAGAAATTCTGCCTGCCAGGAGTGTTGGATACAGCTTTACATACCCTGGAGTCTGCTGCCTTAATAGGAGCAGAGCTAACCTAATCCTTTGGTAGTTATAGGTTTGATGCATAATTTCAATTCATATACAGGCTCAGAAGCCTTTTCCTAAGAGTTTTTCCAGTTTGGTAAATCTCCTTTACCTGGGTGAAATAAATCAACACTGTTTTTATTACAGAGGTAAGAAAAAGTCCAAATGTGTTTGCTGTCATAGTTAGCTGAAAAAGAAATTAATCTTATTTGAAAACTGCTACAAGGAGGTTTGAATCATAGAATCCAGACTGAAATGTCATGTAAGGAGTTTAACTTCTCAGAAATATGGCTGGTAACAAAGATCTTTTTAAATGCTTAGCTATTTTTGCTTTGGGTCTAGAAAATCTGTCATTTTTGCAAGTGGAATCCAACTAGTGGGTAGTGACCTTAAAATCAGTATCACTTACATGTGTTTCAGTGGTTTATGTAAGAAACTGGTCTCAGTTTGGAAGCTGTTTGGTAAAAAAGCATTCACATCAGGAAGTCACTGTGTGAACTGGCAGGATTTGTGATTGTACCAAAACAAGCTTTTTTCCCTTTTTGCCTGTTAGAGCAAATTTCAACTTTGTATTACGTGCTTAATGAATTTTTTGCTTGTGGGGGTTTTGCTAGGACTAATAATAGGACACCTGTCAAATACAGTTATTTTAGTCAATTGAGAAGTTGCTAAATTTAGGAGAATCTGCCAAAAATGAGCTGGAGGAAGTTTAATGAAGTAATTCAGTGATTTGCATCTCATCAGAGTTAGAATTCCTTGTGAGCCTTTTCCTAGTAAGGCATTTTGCTCTTTGCTTTGGGAGTTTCCATTGTTGTGCCTCGTGGGTTGCTCCCCTTAGCTTTGCTTAAATTTTCTGATCTGATTCACCAGAAGTTTTTTTCCATTTGGGCACTTGGCAGGGTATAATCTGTGCCTGGTTCTCCCTTCCCCAGCTCCATCAGGAAGGTTACATTTGTAGATATGTGAAAAACAGAGTTTATACACATTCTGAGACAGATGAAGCACTGCAATGGATGTGTATGAAATTCCTCATTGATTTGGTCTTGCTGGTCCTGTTTTTGTGTTCATAAATATTAAATGTTGTTTCTGTGGAGGGGAAAAGATACTTGGATTTATTTGAGCAGGTGACAAAGTATCTGTCAGTGTCCTGACTAACCACTGCATGAGTGTTTTGTCTTTTATGTGATAAATACCCACTTGTCTTTACAGGCTATGGCAGAAATTAAAACCCTGCAAGCTTCATGGTGTTCTGCCATGTCATTTTTATTGTTATTTTCCTTTTCCAGAGGGTTTTTGTTTAAAATCAGGTTCTCTAAAACAGAAGCATTCGGATCCTTTAGACTCAACATTGCTATGAACCAACAGAGGGGAATGCTGTGAGGTTATGAAACCTCTTTTCCAGGCTTGCTTGTCTTCCATAAAAACATTAAGACATTTTAAGTGCAGCTCTCTAGTTTGGGTCTGTTTCTATGCATTGCAAATGATACAAATTTCAGTCTGGCAGTAAATGCAAATATTGTTAAGGACGTTGGAAATCTGGAAAGTTTCAAGAAAAATCTGCAAATTAAGTGTCTGCACAGAAGCAACACAAGGCACAAATCCTCTCTTTGAAAGTCCTTGTAACTCTCAGGAATAAAATACAAATCAAGAATAACAAAGATAACTCTGGCTTGGGGAAAGGATCCACAGACTTTGCTGGAATCTCTTCAGTTGTTCCAGGCTCCCCAGAAGTTGCCCTGGCAGGGAGGAGAGTGTGACTAAAGCTGAACTAAGGAGCTGTCTGTCCTTTTTCAAGCAGGTTCAATAGCCATTCATCATCAGCAAAGTGGCTTTCTGTGTATTCTGTGCTGGGCAGCCTCCTGAGCTCTGTCAGTACGTGGGCTCATTGCTGACAGTTTGTTAGATTCAAGTTCCCTGCTTGAAAAGGTGCAGCCACACTTGGCAGAAAGAGCTGTCAGGCTTCCAGTCCTAATGCCATTTCTGGGGCATGAACACAAAAATATGAACAGTACAGTGGGTGAGGAAGGGGAAAGGAAGAATTTTTTGTTTTGCTTTTCTTTTTTGTTTTTAAATTTCATTAATTCAGCTGGCTTTAGCTGCTGGATATCAAAATGCTGTTTAACAGGTCTTGGTTGAGAATGATGTTCATGCATGCAGGGGAGGTTAAGATATTTCCACTGGAGGAGGGAATGCAGGAGAAGAAACCATTAATGGTTTTGTTCTCAAGTTGGTAAATCTATCTTACTCAGTGTGTGGAGACTTTGCTTCTCCTTAACACCCAAAACAGCCTCAGCACAGGGAACTGTTGTGGTAACACTGATCTTTGCTTATGCCTTGGGATCTGGAGTTTCTCTCTGTGTCATGAGGCAGCTTATTCTGTGCTGAGATTTGATGACCTGCTTGGTTGTTTTTCTCTGCTTTCTCTCAGGTTGTGCTTCATGGCAGACTGATTCATGGTGCTCTCCATTTGCAGTGATTTTCTTCACCTAACACATCTTTTTCTTGCAGAGATCAGCTTTTTTGTTCTATGGCTGATCAGTTTTCACTCCAGTTTGCAATAGCTTGTAAGGGCTGGCTGCAGTGTTTCTTGTTGGACTATAAAACAAATAAACAGGAGAAAAGACACTGAAATCCACCACTGTGGAGAGCTGGAGATGTTCTGAATGTTTAGCCATTCCCTGATACCTTGGATACAATGCAGGAGAAAAATAAACTCTGAAATCTCTGCAGCACATAACACTGTGTGATGGAGTGCTTGGGGAACTCCTTCTCTGCCTCATTTGTGACAGATGAGATCCCTCTGGCAGGCACAGAAATGCTCTCTGGAGAGGGATGCTTCACTGAGAAGGATTTGTTGCATTTTAACTGCTGCTGATTTGTGGGCTGGAAATGCAGACTGCAGGTGAGGAACATTTCCCTGCTGTATTGCAGGTCAGAGCTGAAGTGCTGAGGACAGTGAGGATTTCAGTGTGCTTGGTCTTAGTGCTGCTGCTTTATTTTATTGGGCACTGGAAGGTGATGACTGGACTGATTTTGTGAGTGAGAGGAATTGCCTGTTGTGCCTGAACAATCTGAGCAAAGGAGGGACTTGAGAGCTGCTTCTTCATGCACTTGGCATGAGACCAGAACAGTCTCTTCAGCTCTTCAGATGGGATTTAACCTTCACTCTTGGAGAATCCACACAGAAATCTCTCCCAGCTATTTGCTGTTACTGAGGGGGGACACAGTAAATGGCCTCTCTGGTAGCAAAGGATGGGATTTGACCTGCCTGCACTCTCAGTGTGTACCTGTCCCACAAACATGGGAAGTGGATCATTCCCTCCTGGCTGTCATCTTCTGTAACATTACTTCTGTCACCACCTTGGTGTGCAGGGGCTCTCTGATGGCATTGGAGTGCAGTGCTGGAATCTAGGCTGTGTGCCAGGTGGGATCTTCCCAGCTGGGAGTCGAGTGTTGGGACTGCTTTGGTGCCATGCATGTGTGAAACACCTCTTTGCATATCCCAGTGTCTCTGCTGCTGCACTGCTGTGTGAGGAGCTCATTTCTGCTTTGTAGTTCATGGCAATTTCAGTTCCTCCCTGAGGAATGGATACTTAGCTCCTCATTCTGTAATTATGAAGTTGATTATTTCTGAAGAGTAAACTTGGTAGCTGTCTTGCTGCATCCTCCTATGCTTTTCAGACTATTACTTTGATTTGCCAGAATCTTTCTGCATTCTGGTCTTGTTCTCCAGTATGTAACTCTTAGTGTCTTGTGCAGATTTAATAAGCAAGTTCTCTATTCCATTACCCAGGCAATTACTGAAAATACTGAGTAGAAGTGAACCCAGGACAGGCCTCTCTGGAACCACACTCAATGTTCTTACATTTTTGACAGGAAACCATTAAGTAAATCTCAATGCATATTTTTCCAATTAGTTATCCATCTACTTTGGTTTTGTCTAGCTTATGTTTCTCCAGATTTTTTCCTATCTGACTGTGGGAAGGAAACCTTTGGCAACAGGGAGAACTTAAAAGATCTGCATGCCTCTGTACTGATTAGTTTGATCTCTTCTAGGAAATGTCAATTGTTTAGTAATTCCATCTTTCTCCTTTAAGCAACCTGCTTACTTTTCTCTGTACTTGCCTTCTTTTACTTTAGTAGGCATAAAAGTTATTTGATCTGTACTTTTGTGACCCTTTTCTATTAAGCCCAAGCTCATCTAGGCCCACTCTAAAGTCAGAACCAGTGATGATCCCAGTATGGCCACTGCTGGAATGTCACTGAACACAGCAGGCTGAGTAAATTATTTTTACAGTACGTGAACAGAAGCTGGGATCTAACATGGAGCTAAGGCAAGAGGAGTGTTATCTGAAGATGCCTTCTCCTCTTGGGGTGATGCTGTGGAGATGTTGTTAGCAGCTCTGATCAAATAAAGCACTCTGACATGGTAAACAGCAGGTGAAAGTGCTCACAGACCAACAGGGGCAGCTTTGAACAGGACAGGTCTGTGTGTGCTCCCAGGCATCCCTTGGGAATGCATTGAGCTATTGGCACTCTTACCTTCAGCATCCAAAATAACCTTTGTAGCATGTTTGTGGGGGAAAAAAATACCTGTATGGAATGAGAATCACACTGTGCAGAAGAATAAAGGAAATGTGTTGTGCATCCCAATTGCCTGTTTGGTGGAGCAGCAGAGAAAAGCTGAAGAGCTGTTGGAGAGCCAGGGCAGTTCCAAGAGGAAAGGTGCTGCTCTGCCTGCCTAAACAGCTCAGCCTGCCTCTTATTGAGTGTATTCTGAGGCTTTGCAGTTCAATGGTCACATTGCCATGACAAATCCAGGCTTGGATGCTATAAAAGGATAACTTCTCCTTTCTGTTTTGTGGCTGCTCATTTTGCTATTAAGAGGAGCTGGTGTGCATTAAGCTAATAAGGTTCATCTGGGGCACTGTCCACTGTGTATTTGTCATGTGTTGTACCTATTAAAATGCAGAAGAAAGTCACAGAAGTAAGGGTGGTCAACTGCATAGTAAATGGGGCTTTTTAAGTGAACTGCTCAAATTTAGCAAATAAACACCTGGTTTAACTGCTTTACCACCTTTTTTGAAGTATGAGCCAATATTACTTGCTGCTTTAGTTTAGTGATAGATGGGAAGGGCCTTGAGGTGCTCAAGGACAGTGGCTGTGCTGTGTCAGGTTGGTACAAGAGATCAAACCTGGGACCTGCTCAGTGTGGGTAAAGAGATGTGAGAAGTGTTGTTTGATGGGTGTGAGCTGTTGCTGAAATGAATTTTACAGTTCAAGGTCTGATGTCTGATGCTTCTCCCTTCTCTTCTAGGGTGACGACTTCAGGAGTGATGGAGGGCATGAAGAAAGTCAAGAAAGTGGTGAATGGTTCAGCAGAGCCTCAGGGCGAATGGGAGAGCACAGCATGATGGACTGGACTAAGGCAGCACTTTCAGAGAAACTTTTTTAATTTATTAATATTACTCTCAGTGGAAAGGGAGCAACTTGCACTCCCCACCACTGAAACTGCAGAGTGGGGTGTGTCTAGGGAGAGCAAAGCAGTGCAGAAATATAACTATTCCTTTGATCATAAGAAAATGGGATCTCCTGGTACCTGCAAGGAGCCTGAAGCTTTCCTAGGGATTTTGGGTAGCTTTTTTTCCCCCTTTCTGGATCGGTTCTTTATTCTGAATTGTTGTGTTCCTCAGAATGTGTAATACTAATGTGAAGAGGGATCTTCAGTGTGTATGTAAAGAATATATTTTATATAATGCTCATATATATGCACACACACACACACTTGCTTTGTAACATGAATGCTGGGACTTGCAAAGCCTGTCAGAAGGTGGGAAAAGAAGATAAAGACATGTAAGTATTTTTTTCCTTTTTATAAACTCTCCTTTTGGCTTGGATGGAACATTGCAAAACAAATGGATGGGAACAACTGCAGTTATTTGAGAGACTGAAGGTTATTGGATCAGATGACTTCTGCCACTGCTCATGCAAGTGTGAAAGGTGATAAGTATCTTCTTGTCTTGTCCCTGCAGGTGTCCACCTGAATGTGTCAGGTTTTCAGATGTGTTGCTATACAGGAAATGAGTGACTGTTCTCCATTAAAGCACTAAGCCCATAGTGCAATAAGTATTTATGTACATTGTCCCCTGTCCATGGAGTTGCTCTTGACTCACCCCCACCTGACAAGAAGTACACAAGAGGTGTAAGACTGATGGTTGCTTTCTAGGGGTCTGTAAATGTTTACTTTCAAGCTGTGACCCAGAGCTTCATAAAATATTTTCAAGGTATTTCAAAAGTCACTCCTTTCTGGCATACTGTAAACAGTGTCAGACACTCCAGTGGAAATCTGTCTAGCCATTTTACTGCAACATAAATCTCTGGTTCACAGTTACCCTGAGTTACTGGGTCTCTCTGGATGGCTACTTGTACCTCTCTGGCTGTGTAGGATTAATAACACTGCTGTTTTGGGTGAGCTGAACTGGTCAAAGGAGTATTGCCACCAAAACCAGCAACTCCTAGTCCTGTTTTTTTTTTTTTTTTTTTTGGCAGGAGAGGAAAAGATTATGACCAGAACCTTGATGCAGAGGAATATAGAATCCTTGAGTGTTAGCTGCAGACTTGCAGTGGAGTCTTTACAAACACATTCCAAAATGCCTCATGTGTTTTCTCTGTAGTCCTTGGGGTTGTCAGTGGGGCAGTTGGTGTCCAGAGCTGTAGTAGTGAAAATGGGTGCTCATTTGGGAGAGGATGGAAGTGGCTCACTGGTGGAGTGAGGATTAGCTTTAACAAAAATAAATCAGCTCTAAATCTCTGACCCACTGAAGCCTTAATATTCATGCAGAGACATTGCCATGTGGTGCTGTGGAGCCAAGAGCTTCTGCCAGGGTGTCAGGAGAGGCATCAGCAGAGCTCTGGATGTGCCAGCATTGCTTACAGACTCGTTCAGGAATTGGTTTTGTGGAGGGACTGCAAATCTGGGCACACCTGATGAGAGGACTGTTAGCCTAAAGTTTATTTTATTCTTCAAGCTGAGGAGGATTTCCTCCAGAATCTTGAACCACTTCCTCACTCCTGAGCAGGGGTTGTGGAGCTCCTGGTGAGCTGTCTGTAGCAAGCCTTGCTGGTTGAGGAGCAGCATCTCTTCCCCCATTGCCACTTCTTTTCCCAGGTGTTGGTTCCATGCACCATGGAGGTGGTAGAAACAAATCTACCTGCTTTGATACCTGGAGCTGCTTTCTCTTCAGATAAAGCACAAGAAGAACATTTATGTCTGGCTGCAGAATCCTCCTCTGATTTCCTCCTCAGCTGTTACTTCACAGTAATCACAGCAGTGATGGTTCCACTTTGCTGTCATTGCCTTGCAGTGAGAATTTTAGTGAGAAGAGATCCTATACCAAGGAAAGGCTGTTTGGTCACCTCTGGGCCTTTAGGCCTCCTGGAGGAAGAAATCTACATTTTTAGCCTGAAGTGTGAGAAATTGGACCATCAACAAACACAGGCAGTGCCAGCTCTTACATGTAAATGCAATACCTGGAAAACTCAACCTCTGCAGTTCCTCTGTCCCTTGTCCTGCGTCCAAAGGACTGCTCAGACAGGCTGTAAAGCTTGTTCAGAGAAGCTCTGAAGACTCGAAGTGTGTTGGCACTGAGGTATGTAAAGGATAAGGATGTGCTGTCAGGAACAAAGTGCATCTGGACAAGGCCATTCTAGAGCTGTTAATCCTGTTGTAAACGAGATGTGAAATTGTCAGAGGTGTGCCATTTCACCCAGAACCACGAGGGCTGTGCTGTGATCCCAGGGAATGCTGAGCTGCTTCCAAACAGCTGCCTGTTCCATACCTCAGCATCAGGGGAGCTGACAATTTGGCAAGTACTGTTACCTTAGTCTCAGGTTTCTTTTGTTTTTTTTTTTTTTTTATTTGCACTTTTTTTGCCAGAGTTGCATATGGTGTAGGTTTATCTGCCAAGTCTCTGGCTCACCAGTCAAAGGCCATAAAAATGGGTCATTTCTTTTTGTCTTGGCAGGAAAGGCCACAGCAGTATTCTGGAAGTTAATTTTTTTTACAAGAGCTTTTTCCAAGTTCAGCCCTGAGCTTCAGCAGTCAGCTCCACAACCACCTTCTGCTGGTGTTTTACACAGGATGCCAAGCAGCAGGAAATGGTCAGACCTGAGCATTAGGAAGGAAAATCAGTCATGGACAAGTCAAAACCCAAAAGATTCTTATTGTGGCCATTTCCAAAATGAATTTTTTCTGGTGCAATTCCGTGGATCAGGACAGAAAGATCTGTTTTGATGGATATGATGGATGGGATGGCAGCTGGGATGTTGGAGATTGGAGATGGCTGCAGTTGTGCTTCTCTCCAGCACAGCAAGTACTGCACTGCAAAGCATCCAAGGCAGGATTACTCCCTCCCCTCCTGCCCAGGCACACCCAGAGCTGCATGGCTGGCATTGCATGGCTCCAGGGCCAGGGGAGTGCAGCAGCTCAGAGCTCCCCAGGCAGGATAATCAGTGCTTGCCTTTCACATGCTGACAGCTGCTTATCTGCCAGGAAGCTCTGCCTCTCCCAGGGAGGGAAGAGAGGAGCTGTTGTGGATTACAGCTCGTTTAGGAATGTGCAGCTTTGCTTCCCTGTCGCTGCTTTTACTGAAGTGAGGAGCTGGAGCAATCTCCAGCAGTACCCAGCAGAGAGTGACAGGAGTCCTGGAACAGCAGCTCTGCTGCAATGGGAACAAATGGTTTGAAAGCTTTCCCAGCCCAGCACTCAGTCCCCTCTGCAGACAAAAATGAGATTGGTTCAGTCTTCACGTGCAATGCAGGATGTGCCCCAGTAAATCCCCGTGGATGCTGACATGCACATGGCACTGCTGCTCTCCTTCCTGCTCAGCAGGCTGGCTTCCAGAGGAAGCTTCCTTGCAGTGCCACTGCCAGCCCCTTGCATTCTTCGGGCTGGAAAATGTTTTCCTTGATGGTTCATCAAGAGACATACTAAAAGAAAGCCAGACATAATGGGGTCATGTGGAACAGTGCTGCTGCCTGCTGGAGTGGAGCAGTTGGAGTTGAAGAAGCCACATGCTGTCCTATTAAGATGCTCTTTCATGTTGTCTGTTGTGATGTGTGCAGTGCATTGTTCAGTGTTTCCCTCCAGCTCAGTGCCCTGTTCCTGGATTTCCATGCTGGCATGCCCTGGGAGAGCATGTTGTAAAAATTTGCTGCATTGCAGCATTTTGTCTGGAGCTCATAGTGTGGAAGATGTATTTTTTCTGAGCTGAGTGGACTCTCTCTGGCACGAGTGTGCATCCACCATGTGTCCTTGAGCACTGTAGCATTCCTTTGGCCATCAAAGGCCATGTCCCGATCACTCCAGTGTGCACATCTGATGCAAGTCCTGTAGAAGATTTTTTGTGTTAGGTCTTTTTTCCTTACTGTGTGTTCCTCTTAGAGAAAAGCAGTTGAGCCACTGACAATCAAATTGATGAGAAGGGAGGGGATTTTGTTATTTGTTTGAAAACTGCCCAATTTGAAGCAAATACTGGGTACTGTAGATTCTATTGAGCTCTGAGAACTGGAGTTCTTTAGCTACTAAGGAGAGGGAAGGAAATCTTTCTTCCTTTAGCCTACTTGGTTTGTCTCCTTCAATTTGACCTGTCATGCTAGCTAACAGATTGCTGTCACTTTAAAGAAGATGTTTTACAGCTCCTGTGTGATGATTTCTGCTTCACTCCTAGAGCACATCCCCATTTTTCACCTGTGTACAAAGAGAGCAGCTGTGGTGTGCAGCAGTGGGAGGTGCAGTGAGGTTTGAACATAGTGGGACTCACACTGAAACTGTGACCCTGTGTGCAGTGCCAGTGGCCTCAATGTTTCATGAAAGCTGAGGTGGTGCTGCCCAGAGACACTTGGCCAATGTTTGTGTTCCCTGGGGCTGATGTGCTGTAAAACATTGTTTTAAATTGAATTAATTTGGCTTCTTTTTTTGTAGCTGCTAGATACAATACTTTTGGGCTGATAAATCACTTTTCCTTAGCAATACTGGGAAGCTGTGCATTTTCCCTTTGTGGTGTCTTGCCTGGATATAGCAGTGATCTAGTGAGAGCTGCACATGATCTGTGCTCCCAAGTGGCTGGAACAGGATGTAGGAAAACATCAATACTCAGGTGTTGAGTGGTGTAGGAAGAAAATGGCTGAGAAAAGAGTCACTCCTTTTAGGCTGACTGGCTCAAGAACCCATTTATGTTTTGTCTGCAGCAATCCTCTAGAAAGGACAATTCTAAATAAATATTTCCCTGTGGGATTTCACTCAGTGTTCTGCTCTCTGTGTACTGAAGTAGAGTCCGACCTCCACATTATCAGAAGCACTTCATCCTGCAGCCAGTGGAGCTGGTACCTGCTCTTACAACAGAGTATGGGGCTAAATAGCTTCCCTTGCCCTTTAGGAACTATTAATAATTAATTCTAGATCCTCTTGTGTCATTAAGCAGCTTTAGGGCACCTTGTACAATGTAGCTTTGAATTCATTCAGTAAATGACATCCAGAAGAACTAAAAAAGACTTTTCTGTGTACAGCAAGGTCCAGTTCTTGGGGTTTTGGTGACCTGTAAATATCCTATTCCTCAGTTCCTGTTCAGATGTAAAAATGGATTTTTTTCAGTATTTTTTTAAACTTTATTAAAAGAACAGCAAACAGTATTTGAAGAGAAGCAAGGTAGAGACAAGTCAGAACAGTCTGTGTAACTTGGTTTCCCTGCTGTGATGCAAATGTGTAAAATAAAGATTGACCAGAAAGAAGTTTTTAATGCATTTCATTTTCTCCTTCTGAACTGCCATTAGCCAAGCTGACCCATTGTTCCCAAAGTCTGCATTTCCCTCTGCTCAACTTCTGTTTCCAGCCATCAGCATCTGCATCATGGATTCAGGGCCAAATCACAAAACTTGTATGGAAAAACTTCTGTTGAAGGGAAAGTTTTCCTGTCAGTGACGCAGTGAGGTTCACTGAGGTGCCTTTTCTTGAGCTCCAGGTACTGGAGCTGTGTTTGTGAGTGCCCAGCTGCTCTTTTACTTTTGCAAGCTGAACTTAGGCAGTGTTTGTGGACTGAGTCTTGAACAAAAATGTTTCTCCCAGCCCTGTGTCTCCTGCAGGCTGGGGCAGGCAGGAATCCAGGAATACCTGGGCTTGTTGCTGCTCCCCAGCCCTGTGGTCTGTGTGTTCTCAGCTTCCAGGTGAGGGCAGATGGAGCTGATGCTCTGAACCTTGGTGTCCAGATACAAATTAAGGATAGAAGGTTACTTTTAAAGTAATATCTTGGGTGGATCTGGCCACACTATCTCAGAGGAGCAAGTCCTTGATCTGTTTTAAGTTAGACTGATGGTGATCTGGGACATCTGTAGTTGTGCTCTTCCTGAGGTGTTGGGATCTAACCTTGCATTTCAGTTCTGCAAACTGGTTGGGTTGGCAGGGATGAGGAGGGCACAGCATTCCTGTGACGTGTTCTTCCTGATAACCCCCATCCCTCAAAGGCATAAATCCTTCAGCACCAAATTCCAGTCTTCAAGATGTTTCTTCCAGTTCAGCCTCTGGTTCTCATCCTTCCACCAAGGGGTAATGCCTGAAGCAGCCTCTCTTCTCTACCCTGCACCTCCCAAGCAGCCACTTCTGCACTGCCTCAAGCCTCTGGGTGAGTGTTTTACCAGAGAGCAAAATATAAAAAGTGCTTAGAATTTGGATTTCTTAATGCCTCACTGTAGGTTAGAACAAACTTTCCTGATGCACGTGGTCGCTGTTGTTGCACTAGAGTGGCCTAAATCTCTTTAATGCAGGTTTCTCCAAACTGAACATATTCTGCATATTCTGTCTGTTGTGTATTTGGCCTTAAAACATTCCCATTCCTCCTTGGCATTCCCTGACAGCAGCTGAGACTCATCCCCAGAGCTGCCTGCACTCAGCCATAAGGAAAGGTGAAATGTTAAGGGTGGAGTGGGTAAGGTGGGACTGAATTGTGGGAACACTCGCTTGGGAAGGAGACCAAATGAAATTACCAGTGGAAAAATTGATTCCTGACCATTTTCTCCAAGGAGACACAAAGAAGAGCTCCCAGTATTTGAAGTCTATTGCAAGCAAAGGTCATCTGGCAGACTTCCACAGGGAGCAGAAGAAACAAAAGCACAGCTAACAAAACTTTCCTCGGTGTTCTGTGTTTGGATGTAATTTTGTAGGTGTTTTCCTGCCCAGGGGAGGTAAATTGTTCTACCTGCACTGAGGTTTTTCTTGCAATGTCTGACATTCCCAGCTGTCTGATCATTTGCAGCTCCTCATTGCACTCCTGGCTGCCTGCTGCCAATGCTTTTGCTCAAGCAAGGTTATCTTCATGACTGCAAAGAGCTGCCTTCTCCTTAAATCTGCTTTTGCCTTCCTTTGCCTTCTGACTGACAGGCTCTAATGAGGGGAGAGTGTTGTAGTGCCCTGTATAGTGAGTGGTCAATAAAAACCAAATTGCTTTGTACAGCTGAGGTAATAACACAGCTTGTTATTGGCACAGCTGATCCTGATGTTGGGGCCCTTGGTAAGGAGACAAAGGCTTTCTTCTGTCTTAAGGAGTAAAAAGTGCAAATCATCCATTCCTTTTGTCCCCTCTCATCCATGGAAAATGGTAATTGGGGGTGACACCGCTTTGTTGTAGCTCTTCTCCCCTGTGGGATATTTTCTGTAGGGAGGCTGAGGCACAATACCTGAGATGGCTCTTGTATTCCTGAAAAAAAAATAAATAAACAGGCATGTGAGGTGAGGTTGTTACAGGGTGGCAGGTGGAATAGGTGAGGATTGAAATGGAAGAGGCAGTGTGAAATTCCTTTTACTGATCCCTCTTGGGCTGATTGTGCTGAGCTTGGCAAGAGCATCCTTGATGAAAGGAGCAGTTAAAACATGGGTCACCTGTAAGTGTAGCAATAAATTTGGGATATTTAGTCCCTGAGGACATTGCTCTGGGGTGCAGATCTTCTGTATGCCTTCAATGCTGAGTCATTTGGGTAAGGTGTCACAATATCCCCCAGTATCCCATGGCCAGCTTCTCCCTGAGATTGCACCCACTGCTTACCTGCAGGTGTGAGAGTCCCTGTCAGTGCTCCAGCTGCTGCTTCCCTGAACTGCTCAGATCTTTGTTCTGCAGGAGCTCTGTGGAGCTGGAAGGAATCCTCCCCCCAGCCCAGCTGTGAAGGAATTGATCTGTCTCTCCTGGGAGAAGCCAAACTTGTTCGTGCTGGGCTAGATCTCATACCAGGAGGCAGTAGCCAAATTGGAGGGGCTACAAAGAACAGCTGCAGTGACTGAGAGGAAGGGATTGGGCAATGGCAGAAGATGACAAGAATTAAAGCTGTAAGCCTGACTAAGTGATGATTAAAGAAAGCCAAGAAGATGTAGCTCAGTACAAAATGGCTGCATGGGGGTAACCCACAGCAATGGGTTTGGAATTAGTGTGGCTGAAGGCTGGGCTGTGGAGGAAAACAAGATGTTAGGAGAAGCCTTTTGCCAATGAGTTTGGCTGCAAACAATTTCCCTGGAGAAATGGAGGCAGTTCTGTGTTGTTTTAGATAATCAACACTAGGCTGGACAAATCATTGCTAAATACACTGCAGGGAATGACCCCTTGTCAGCTGTGAGCTGGATGAAATGCCTGGCTCAGCCAATTTCCATTTGCTTATCTCAGTGGGAAATATATTGCATGCATAATTCCTGGTTTGGGGGGTCATTTTAGTTTTACTGTTAAACCTCTAGATGCCTTGAGTGAGCCTGGCTGCTCCATAGGAGGAACACATTGAAATGAAGCTGGTTGGTGTGTGCCCTGATCTGTATTCTGAGGCAGTCAGGGTTTTAACTGTTGCTGCAAAATCTGAGTGGAAATATCTGCTGGGATTTACCAAGCACACAATGCTTGAGTGTTTCCATGAATCAGAGCAGCCTTATGGGAGGCAACAATTCAAACTCTTAAACAGCAACAAAATTTGAAGAATAGGTACAAGTTGATCAGGTTGATTTTTTTGGTATGTTTGAATGTTTTTGGTGATTGTTGTGGTTTGGTTTTAACGATTGCAGGGAGGGATTTGGGTGGGCAGACATCACTGCTGACTGCACAGTTTGCTTACAAAGCTTGCTCAAGAGACTTGTGTCTTGTGTTGAAACCAGAGCAGGTCAGCACCAGCTGCCCCAGCAGACAGATCCTGGGCACTGAGGGGCAGATGAGCCAGTGTAGGATTCATGAGTACTCAAGAGGCTGATTTCTGTCTGGTTTGTAGTGTGAAGCCATCACCACACCATTCCCTGTGCCCTCTGCAGGCTCAGAGCTCAGCATGGAACAGACACGGAGCTGCCTTTGGAGCAAACATCTGGGCAGGATCACAGAAGAGCTGGAAGCCACATGACTTCCCTTTATTTTGAGGGTTCTTATAAATATGTATATTTTCTAAAAGCTCTGTTCTGCTCCAAACCTCTTTCAGATTTAAGGACGCTCTGTCACAGATGTGGGGTTTGTTTTTGAAGCCCCCTGCTGAAGCTTGGCAGCAGAGCTGGTGAGCAGCGCTCAAGTCACCTGCAGTGGGTGGAGAGCAATGTGGAGAACAGCTCCTCCAGCCCCTTTTCCAGCCCTGAGGGTGCCAGTGGAGTCTTTGCTGCAAAATGCTACTGCTGCCTCTGTGACTGTGATCTTATCTCCCCCAGACAAAGTGCACAGCACTCCTCGCTTGTCCTTACAAGGAGCCTTTTTTTATTTTCAGTCTGTCTGGAATCAAGCCTTGGCTCAAGGTGGCTGGGCTGAGCTCTGCAGGACGAGGACGGCAGGAGCAGAACAAGGGGTGATTTCCCACTTGCCAGCCGGGATTTGTGATGTGCCACGAAGGAAGATCGAAGGAAGATCCACAAAACCTCCTCCTGCTTGGCTTTGTCTCAGCCCAGGGTTGCAAACTGCACGAACAGCTGATGAGTTCACCACAGCCACCCTTCCCGGCTTCCTACATTAGCATAACAATTACAGCCCCAGAGGCTCTAAAGAGAATACAGGCTTTAAAAAATAAACTAGAATTTAACAGAGAAATTAATAGCGTAGCAAATTGTAACGCTGAGCGTGCCGGCTGCGTGTCAGTCTCGAGCGACAGCTGTACGTGCAGCCCTGGCACAGTTTGATTTCCAGACCTTCCGCTGCATTTGGCCATCATTTCAACATCTACACTTCCATTTCCTGGGGAAAGAGCCTGCAGGGCACCATTCCTGCTGCCACTTTCCCCAAAAACCTGGAGTGTTTTGTGTTTGTCGCGTTTCTCTGCAGCCATGTGATGTATTGGCATTAAAATGCTGTGCCATAGAAATTAATTTATGGCTGTAATAGCCATTAGATGCTGTAGCCTGAATCTTGGAGTGTTTTGGGTTATAAATCTTGATTTTTGAGGGCTTTCTTATTTAGTCATATATAGCTCAGCTATCATAGCAGTTGGTACATGCCAGCACTGGGTGCTTGCTGTGACCTGCAGTGATACCAGGGGCGAAGCAAGAGCAGCTCAGTCGCATCTTGTCAAGCACAAAACAGCTTCAGGAACACCGTGGTTGGTGAGCTGGAAGCTGCGGAGTCCCGTGGAACGCTGCTCACAGCCTTGAGATCATCCGGATGTGCAATGGTTGTAACCCGAGCTGCGGGCGATGCCTGGGAAGCCGAGGGTGTCCCCAGCAAGAGCCGATGCATTCCTGTGCTCGTGGTTGTTGCACCAGGATGTTGAACTCACTCTAATGGCATTTTTGTGTTCAA